CTCTTCACTCACTCACTCACTCACTCCCCATGGCGCGCGCGACCGCGGCCGCCGCGCGCGCGCAGCGCCGCGACCGCAGATCCACTACGGGCCAGGGCTCCAAGGGGGCCCCGCAGGACGAGAGAGAAGGCTCTAAGGACCTGGAGGGAAGAGGACGCGGGGGCCCAGAGCCCAAGACACCCACGAGCACCGAGAGCCCAAGAGGGGCCGAGGCAGGGCCCGCCGCCAGAGGGAGGGAGGGACGCCTCAGAGCGCGTGAAGGAAGAGATGCGGGGGACCCCAAGGGCCCGCGAGGACGAGGGGGGGGAGAGGCCTCGAGGGCCAGGAAGAGGAGGGGGTGGCCACATTCCGAATGAGACTACGCTCCCAGCCGGAGCACCACCGCGCCACCGCCCATATGACCAGCCGCCAGCCTCCAGCCTATCCTGCAGGTTTGGGCGGTGGCGAGGCGTGCTCGGCTTCTCTGCTCTCGGCGCCCTCAGCCCCCCTAATGGAGAGAGAAGCCTCCAGGGGTCTCAGAGAATCAGGAAGCCGAAGGGGGGGGGGGGCTGAGGGGGCGCGGCCTGGAGCAAACTATGGGAAGCAGCCCTGGGCCCACGGGCCTCGCGCGCCCGCGCGGCCGCCCCGCTCACCGCGGGCAGCTCCCTCGGCGGCGCCGCGGCGCGGGCGGGAGGAGGCGGCTGCCTGCTCGGCTCTTCGGCCGCCTCTAGCGTCGCCTGGAGCCTCTGCCCATCGGCGTTCGCTGCTCATCTTCAACTGTCCCCGGCTCGGCGTCCAGCTCAGCATCGTCGATATCGGAATCGGCGTCCAGATCAGCTCGTAGTCGTAGAGCTCGTCGTACTGCTCTGGTGTGCTCGCTGCACGCATCGCTCTCGCACTCGTCGCCTTCGTGCTCGCAGTAGCCGTCGCCCTCGTCGACGGGGGAGTTCTCGTGGCTCTCGTACTCGCAGCAGCCGTCGTCCTCGTCGCTCTCCTCGGTGTCGTCCCCGAGGCCGCCCTGGAGATCCTCCTCGAGCCCTCCTCGGTGCCTGAGCCTGACGGGTCCTCCGGCGTGGCGGGCCTGGCGGGCCAGCCGTCTCACGAAAGGCTGGGGGGTCCGTGGCCTCGGCCCCTCTGACGCCCTCGTCACCAGTTCCTGCGTTGGGGCCCAGACGTACTGCTCGTAGGGCACGTAAGGCTCCGCATCCCGATTCAGGGCGCTGGGGCCAGCCTCGTCTCGTAGCTCTTCTCGCGGCTCGTCTCGTGGCTCGTCCTTCGCCGCCTTCTCTCGCACGCGCGGTGCCGCGCGTGTAGCTGATGGCGTGGGGCATCCAACTCGCTCTTCTTGGAAGGCTTCCGCTGGTGGTCTGGCGGCACTGGACTGTTTCCTCTGTTTCTCGCTTTGCGCACGCTCTGGTTCTGCAATCGCTTCTCGCGCGCTCTGATTCTGGCTTGTGTCATCGCCCTTCCGCTCCTCTATCTGCTGCCGTGGCCGCCATCTTCCGTCGACGAACCTCCAGGCCATCGACGAAGAATGCTCGCAGATTGCCGCGGCCGCCAGCTCTTCTCTCGGCCCTGCAGTTGATGGCGTCTGGACTCCCATCCTCGCACCACTGCCCACTGCCACTGCCTTTTCTCGCAAATGTGCGCCCCAGTATGTAGCCAATAATGCCTGGGCTCCCGTCCTCGCGCCGCTTCCCGCTGCCGCTGCCGCCTCTTCTCGGAGGGGGTGCCCCAGCCTGTAGCTGATGGCGCCTGGAATCCCGTCCTTGCGCCACTGCCCGCGGCCGTTGTCTCTTCTCGCAGGCGCGTGCCCCAGCCTGTAGCTGATGACGTCTGGAGCCTTGCACTCGCACCACAGTGCGCTGCCACTGCCTCGTCTCGCACGGATGTGCCCCAGTCTGTTGTTGATGCTGATGACGTCGGGGCTTCCATGCTCGCGTCCATGTCCGCTGCCACTGCCGCCTCTTCTCGCACGCTCTGGTTCTGGCTTCTCGCACGCTCTGGTTATGGTCGCTTTCCTGGTCGCTTCTGACACGCTTCTCGCACGTCGCTGACATCTGCTGCCCCGCTGCTGCTTCTGTTCATGCCACTGCCTGCTGCCACTGCATTTTTTGTCAGTTGTGTCTGCCCATCTCGCAAAGATATGTCTTGAGGCAGGCGCTCGCTATCACACGATTCCTGATGCCCAGGCTGCCACTGCCCGCTCGTCTCGCACGGGTCACAATTTGGCAGCCACGATTGTCCCCAGAAAGGCTCTGGAACGTATGGCGGGGCATCTTGTCGCAAAACAGAACCGAGGGGGCTTCTGCAAATGTACCAGCATGGCATCTGCCACCATACCTTCTACATCTACAAGTATGCGTGGCGCACGGAGCCCATCGTGGAGAGTGATAGCTATGCTCCTCCCATCTCGAAGTGTGATGTGCTTGCCTGTTCTGGCCGCGTAAGATACACGGCGAGCCGCCTTATCGAGCGGTCTCGACGCGGCGATTCCCTGGCGTCGGCAATATTCTCGATGGCGCGGCTGGTCGTGGCGGAGGCTTGCGCGCATGGGGTCGGCCGGCACAGGGGCCTGCGCCCGCGCCCGGGGGGGGGGGTGGGGCCTCCCTCCCTCGGCCCCCTGATTTTCAGCCTCTGCGGGGCCTTACCGGCTCTCGCGACCGTCAAAAAACGACTCCGGATGGAGCACCTGTCCATGAGAATGGGTCGAGGTCTCTGGAGGGTCGACGCGAGGAAAAAATCTTGTCGTTGGGGGTCTGGGCTCCCAGATGGGGGTCCAAGTGGATGCTGTCGGGGGTCTGGGAAGGCGTCGAATGTTCGTAGATCTACGAACATTCTTCGTATGACTCGACGGGAAAATCATGTGTGAAGTAGATCAATTCTGTTGACGATTCTCCACTCGATTCCTGAGGACCAGGTGTTCATCCTCAGTCGTTTGTTGACTGCCCCCGTGCCTGATGTGGCCCCCGTGGAGGCCGAACATTTCTCGAAAGTTTCCCGTCGCGTTTTTCATTTTCCGCAGAGACAGAGAGACTTGCTTCTCGTGCCAAAGCCCCCGAAGGCCATTCGGGACGATCCAGGCACCCCAAAGCGCTCACTGCGAGGCGCAGCTACTGGAAGGTATCCGGAGGCTGGAAAACCTCCGGGAACCAATGAAGCCGCCCGAAAACCTCACGACAGGAAGTGCGCTTCCGAGTTCTGGTCCCGCTCGTTATTCATGTCAAGTTCACGTGGTCATTCACGGATCTCTGACACGTGGTGGTTGCCATTGTTTGTGAATTTTCCCCCCGGAATTGATGCGGGATAGCGCACCGTTCGTTGCGCGGAGACGGCCTTCCGTCGGGCGGGCGGAGTCTCGCTCGTGGCATGGGCCTTTCTGCGCCAATCGTTCGTTGGTACTTTTGCGTTGCAGCCATTGGTTTGCAGCGAAAAAGTGCGTCAACCCCTCAGTTAAGGGCCTCACCACTTCTGCCGCCCCTCGACTCGCGGCGGAGCGCCCACGGTTTGCACAAGACTTCCTTGGGGATCTCCGGATTGCCCTGGACCGACCTAGAGCTATCTGGGATCATCTGGATGTTCCACGCTCTTTTTGCACTTACCTTGATTTATCCGGCTTGGTCTCCACACGCCGATTGGTGAAGCGCCGCCGAGCCCTCAGTGGCATTGCCATCTTAGCGGGACGAACAGAAAGAATATTACCGAAAACCTTGGGCCTCGAACCAACAAGCCGAAAACCTCGAACCTCGAACCAAACCGCCCGAAGCCCTCGAAACCACCAGCCGAAAACCTCGAACCTTGAGCCAACCCGACGCCGAACTCAAAAACAAAAAGTGAAACGAACCCCAAAACCTCGAGTCCCAAGCCTCGAACCTCGCAACGAACCCGAACACCTCGAAGGCCTCGAACCCCACCGCCCGAAAACCTCGAGCCGTCGACAGACAAAAGAAGGGCAGCGGCCCGAGAACCTCCGAGACCCCGAAGCCAACCGCCCGACCAAAACCTCGAGACATCGCCAGACCAAAACGGGCAGAGGCCCGACCCCCCCCCCCGGGGCCTGCCTGCCTGCCTGCTGTCTCCGCCTGGCCCCTCTGCCGCCTGCCCACCTGCCCCGCCGGCCCTGGCCTCCCGCCTGCGCATTCGAGGTCGTCCGCCTGCTTCCCAGACCCCCGACGTCGTGATTTCTTCACATAGCGTCGACCCACAGAGGTCTGGACCCATGCCCCTGGACCGGTTCTTCATCCTGAGTCGTTTTGCTGACGGCCCCGAGGGCCGGTGTTAAGGGCCCTGCGCAGAGGCCGAAAACTAGAAAAAGCCTCCCGCCATGATTTCTGTCCTTGCCCGCGGGGATCTGGGTTCTCCCCTCCTCGACTCCCCCCGCCGGGTAGCACAGCCTGCCCAGAACTGGCATGGCGGCGCGTAGGGAGCCGTGTCGACGCACCACATCGGACTCCCCGACATGCGGCGTCCTGGGCTTTTCAACACGATGTCCCCAGGGATCCCGACTCTTTCTCCGTGACCGGATTTTCGTCCTGAATCGTCTTTTGACGGTCCTTGGACCCGACAGGGGACCTCCCAGGGGCCCCAAACAGCCAATCACCTCCCGTTGTGACTTCCTCAGGACGCGAGGGTTGGCCAATATCTGAAGCCCTCGGGCCGCTGTTCAACGGCCTTGGGGCCCAGCGAGGACTCCCAGCAACACAAGCATGTCTGGGAATGGTTTCGGTCGGGTCGGACTTGGTGAGTACTTTCTTCTTCGGCGCTTCGACACTGGGCGGAAGGGCAGGGGGGAAGGGGGGGGGGGTCCTGGCTCCGGAACTCTGCTTCATGCGGCTGTTTGCGTCCTGTTGGGGGGGGGCCCGCTTGCTCGAAGCACTCGTCTCCTTCCGCCGTCACCTTCCGCCGGACAGCACAGCCTTCGCGGAACCCGCGCGGCGGCTCGGGCGGGGCCCTGCGCGAGAGGACGCCCGGCGGGGCCTCTGCCCGCCGGGCCGGCCCGCGGAGCCTTGCGCGCGCGCGAGACCCCCGCGGCGAGGAGCACGGCGAGCTGCGTGGCGCCGCGGCCGCGGCGCTCTGCCGGATCCTGGCGCAGGCCCCGCCCCCCCGAGGAGGAAGAGGTACCCATACCCAGACATGCTCGCGCTGTTAAACATGTTAAGGCCGGCCAGCTTTCCACAATTTTCGGCTCCCGGGGGCCCCTCGCCAGGTCCCGGGGCCGTTGAAACATTACGCAGGATGAAAACCCGGCCCCGGGGAGAGGGTCGGGACTTCCGGGGACGCCGTCCTGAAACAATCAGGACGTCGCATGTTTGGGTACCGCTACCCTTCGCCCGTTTTCCGTCGCCACCGCGGGAATGCTTTTTTCAATTCTGCATGGTCAGACAGAACGCACCCCAGGGGAGGTCCAGGGAGCAGCGGTATCAGTACCTTTTGGCTTCCCCAGCCCCCGATGTCGCTCCCAAGAGATCCGACGCTCCAGAAAAATCGGAGACGGCGGTTCTGTCCGAGGCCGGAACTTCTACATGACTACCGGGTGGGCGGTGGATATGGATATGGAAATCTATATCCGTAAGTATGTGTATATAAATATACACGTTTAGATTATATATATATATAGAGAGAGAGAGAGAGAGATTCGGGCCCCTGGGGGCCAAACTATATTGATATCCACCGCCTGCTGGGGCACCAGGACGTCGGTTCCCAGGCCGTGGATATCGAAAAATCCCCGCCTCGCCGATTGGGTTAGGCCTCCCAGACGGGGTCCGAGGGGTCGGAGGATCGCCCCGCATCGCCGATGCGTCGGCGCTGCGGCTCGATGTGGAGCCCGAGGTTCTCCACGCCGGCGTCGCCGATGCATCGCCTCTGTCGCCGATGCATCGCCGATTCGTCGGCGATGTATGGCCGATGCATCGGCGATGCGGCGCGGTCCTCCGACCCCATAATTATACTCCGACCGAATCTAGGAGGCCGCCATTTCGGCCGTTCTCGGCCTCTGGGGGTCCTCGCAGGGCCTCGGGACCGTCAACCGTCAACAAAACGACTCAGGGCGAGCAGCAGGCCCTTGGGGAAGTGGTCCAGACCTCCGGGGCCCACGCATCGGAAAAATTGAAGCAGCCGGACGTATGGGTCTCGCACTCTCCCGTGCCCCGACGTCCAAAGATCCAGCCCTCCCAAGCGGGGTCCGAAGCATCGACGAGGCGGCTCGATGTTAAGCCAGAGTTTCCCCGGGCGCTCTGCAGGCCACTGGCACAGGCCCGCCCCACATGTCGTTCTCGCCCCCTCTCGCTCTGGTGCGGCCACGAGCGGTGTGGAGACACACTACAAGGGTTGGGGCGGGGGGTGCTAAGGGGATATGGGACCTGATCAGAGGATGCGACAGAAGTTCTTCTGGCCAGAGTGGCTGGGAAAAACTGCTCTAAGTGGATGGAGCCCACCTACTCCCAGATCGCAAACCCCCTCAAAGCCACTTGGGGCATGTGTAACCCACTTGTGAAAAAAAAGACACGATGTAACCAACCTTGGTATGCACCGATACTGCCCCTGTCCCCTGAGCAAGATCCGCGCCCATCCCAGTGGGGAGGTGGATACAGTGGCCAGAACCATGATGTCTGCTCGGATCTCATGGGTCCTCTTATTTCAATGCGTTCCCTGCCCTCCCCCCCCTGGTCCGCGCACATGCCTCGGGCCATGATTTGCGACCCCCCCCCCCCTTCTTGGACGCCCCCCACTGACCCGCACGGTGACGTCTAGGTTTGGGTCACGTTTGGATGGAGCTGGCTGCGGATCCGCGGTGGCCCAGCACTGGTTCTGGCGAGCAGGAAGGGGTGGCGAGGTTCGAGTTGTTGGGTCCGCGAAGGTGTTTTGCTTTTTCTTTCTCTCCAGGGGCCGTTTTCGGGCCTCGGGCCCGTCAGAAACGGATCCAGAGTGAACAACTGCACCAGATCCACCCCAGGAGGAGTCCGGGGACCGATTTGAGAGCTTTGGGCTCATCCTCCTCTCCTGGCCTTCTTTCTCGGGGCCCATCCAGGTCAGACCTTCCTGACCGCCTCAAAACCAAACCTGTTCTGTTTTTTTTCACATTCCAGCATTTTAAATGCGTTTAGGCTGCTCACAACTCGCCCAGGCATGCTCACAAGAATCAGAGAATCATTAGATAATGTGAACGTGCAGTTGCTGCGCACGCCGAGCGCCCACACGCGCGCCGTGCGCACGCAGGCCTAACTTGCCCCGCCCCCAGAGTCTTACAAGTATCCGAAGGAGCCCAAGTCTAAGAAAGAGACCAGGACATGTGGAGTTTCTTTTGCCTCGGTCGGGATGCTGTCCAGCAGCTGCGGATCGTCGATAGCGTCCTGGGGTTGCCTGGATCGTTCCGAACGGCTGCCAGAGGGTCGGAAGGAGGAGGACTGGCTATGGTTCTGGGTGCAGTTTGTCGAACCCTAGGAGAGGCTCCCGCTCGAGCGGGGGGGCCCATCCGACAACACGCACCCGTGATTAGCCCCTTCCGGGTGACTTCCGAGCCTTCCGAGAGGGCCAGCCAGTTCTCACTCCCCCCCCCCCGGGCTCGCCGCCGAATTGGGATCCGTTCCGTGAAGGGGGGTGCAACGCCACACGGTAGCCCGACAGCAGCAGCAGCCTCCCCCGAGGAGCGTGGCATGGGTTCCAGCGGCGGAAGCCCATTGATGAAAGTCTTGACTTTAGGGTTCCAAGACGGGAGAGTTTCGCAGCAACCAGAAATCATTGACAATTGTTCAGGCGACGTGAACATGGTGACTGTCCACGAGGTCTGCACCTCGGCCTCCATTCTCAAACACCCTAGTTTCGACGATCCTGGTTAAGGAACCTGACAGAGCTCGCCCACTGGCAAGCCGCATTCTTATAGGAGCAGACGAGGTACAGTGGCTTGTGAATCCCGTGTGGATGAGCAGGATGTAAAAGATCACGGTTTCCAGCATCATCCAGCTCTTCTACGGCGCCTGTCACAGCGATTTATGTTCTTGCCCCAAGGTGTGGCAACGGCTTCCTTCCATGCTGGCTGACGTGGCGATCAATCCCGTTCCCTTGCTCCCGTCGGCCCAGACTGAGGCCAGACCTCTTTGGCGTCCCCTTCCCCTCGACGCCTCAGTTGCCAAAACCTGGCCCTGACAGGTCAAACGCACGGCTCGACAGGATGTCTGCGTTCCTTGAGGCAGCCGTCAAGGGGGAGGCGTCCTTCAATAAACGCTTCGATCATGGCGCGGAGTGCTTCAATACGTGTCGGTGTGAATCCGCGGCTGTCTCCCGAATAAAACCGACTGGCAACACGGAGAGCGGCGATGTCTTTCAGGCGGCTTGTCGGCAGCGCCGTGCATACTACATATAACACCCGAATGGCCCCTCCCCTCTACTCGTGCTGGTCACGTACAGCTTCTCCCTGCACATAACGCATTGAGGTAGAATCTATCTGGCGCCTTGGGGTAGAGAGTATATTAACTGTTCGTTGGGCCTCTCAGCTACGAGCCCCCTCCTTGAGTTCTAAGCGTTGGTGCTGGGATGAGCGCGTGCGTGTCACGTGTTGTGGGCTCCGAAGGGCGCACACTTAGGAAAATATCCCAGCCCGATCGACTGCACATTCTCGTCTTCTGGTTTCATCCTGGTATCGCTCGGACGTGTGCATTTATCTCGACGAGGACCATCGAGGAGCATCCTGGATCCTGTGGCAAACAGACGGCACGCACGACACCGACAAACGCACGGGGAAGTGGACGTCCGAGCGATGGCGAGTCATGTGCTGCACAACTTGGCCGCCATGCCTACCAGACAGGAGCACCATGCGCGAACGCGCACGTCAGAGCCTCCGCTGCCCCCTCCTCACCCCACCCCAAGAGCGAGCTCTGGGGCCTCCCCTCCAGGAGCCTCCGAGCGCCTCCGCAGTGCCGCGGGGCTGCGCGAAATGACTCGCAATATATTCTAGGGTCTTGGGGCCCTCCACAGACTACTGGTTGGCCTTCAGGGTGCTTCATGCATTTTTTGGAGGGGGGTTCAAAGAGCCGCCAGGAGTTCCCAGCGGCCCCCAGGTAGCCCCAGTGTAACCCTCCAGAGGCCTTCGGAGACCTGAGGAGCCTGAGCAGGAGGGACGAGGTCGCCCCTGGCGCGCTCTGGTCCTAGAAACCCGCGCGGCGCGCCAAAAGTTTATGCTTATGCAGTTTTTCTACGGGAGCTAGCGAGGACGCCCGCGGAAACTTCGAACTTCGAAAAAGCGAAGACGCCCGCGAACACTTCGAGCATCAGAAGACGCGAGAGCCTCATCCCCAACCAGAGAGAGCCTTTAGGCCTCCCACATGGGGTCGGAGACGACAGGTCGGAGGATCGCGACGCATCGCCGTTCCCAGACCTCCTCGCGCTGTCAACAAATCACGACGGGAGGCGTTCTCCACGCCGGCATCGCCGATGCATCGACGACGTCGCTGATGCATCGTCGGTGCCTCGCCGATGCGGCGCGATCCTCCGACCCCATCTGCTCGGAGCCCAGTCGGGAGACCTCTGTCGCAGCCCAAGCGGCGAGAGGGGGGAGGCCAGGAGCCTCGCCCCCCCCCCCCCCCCCCCGCGAAGACCCCCACGGCCGAGGCGCTGCGCAAGGGCGCGCTGGCGCTGGAGCCCGCGCCGGAGGAGGCGCAGGACGAGCTGCTCAGGAGCCTGGAGGCGCACGCGGCCGCCCGTGCCCGCTGGGGGGTCGGTCGGTGTCGGTCGGGCGCGGCGCAGTGCGCAGGGCGGGGGGGGGGGAGAGTGCAGGAGCGAAGGATGAGGAGGAGACGGTGCTTCACGCGGACTGCAGGGCGGCCTGACGCCGCAGTCAGCTCTGGGCCGCCAGCGCGGCACGCTGCACTGGAGACGAGGGCGCCTACACGCTCGAGCAGCTCACGCGCGAATGTCGGCGCAGTTGAACCCGTTTTTTCTCCTTTCGCTCACATGGGGGTGCGAAGAGAACTGCACCTTCTGCGCCAAAAGGGGCCCCAAAGGGACCTCCTGGGTGCCCGCAGGAGGGCCCATGGGCTTCGCCTTCGGGGGCGTAGGCTTCCCGAGCGAAGTCCGAGCAGATGGGGTCGGAGGATCGCGCCGCATCGCCGATGTAAGTCGGGCCTGTCCCTCTACAGGAGGAATATTCAAAAATAGTCAAAACATAGTTCTGGACGATTGTGTTGACTATGTTTGCCATTTTTTGTGTTTTTTGGGGCTAGTTTTTATTGTTCGTCCAAAATACGCCTGTAGGGGGACATGCCCGACCTAGATGTATCCCGATGCGGCTCTGGGTGGAGCCCGATGTTCTCCGCGCTGCTGGCGCCCGACGCGTCGCCGAGGCGTCGCCGACGCGTCGCCGATGCCTCGCCGAGGCCGCGCCATGCTCCTCGAGGGGAGGCCCCTCGAGGGGAGGGCGGGGCTTGGCCCCTCTCGGCTCGAAGATTCGGGGCTCGAGGTTCTCGAAGCTCCCGGGCACGATGCCTTCGAAGCTCCAGGGCTCGAGTCGGGGGCTCGAGGCTTTCGAAGCTTCGGGGCGCCCCTCGGTGTCGAAGCTGCCGAGCCTCTCCAGAGCACCACGGAGACCACGCCGCAGGCGCGGCTGGCGGCTGGCGGGCCGCCCTCCAGGCCGGGCTGGCCCCTGGCTGCCCGTCACAGAGGTCCCCATTCATGGGCTGCCTGGGCGGGTCGAAGTGCGCCCGCCCCCTTCACGAAGATCTCCTCCTCCTCCTCCTCCGCCTCCTCCGCCTCCTCCTCCTCCTCCTACTCCACTCCTCTTTCCTTATAATTAGCTTTTCCCTGTCGCATCCCGAGGCCAGTTTTTAGGGCGGGCCGGGCGTTTCGCTTGAGCGCGGCGCACATCTGTTCTAAATGTTTGCAAGAGCTTCACGGATTGAGGGCGGGTGGTTATCACAATTTGGCTCTCGCCGTAGCGCCGCGCACAGTCGTTCTAAAACATTGCACGAGCTTCACGGATTGAGGGCGGCTCCTTTTCAACATGTGGTTATCGCCAAAGCGCCGCGCACATTTGATCTAAATATTTGCAAGAGCTTCACGCATTGAGTTCGAGTAGTTTTCAACATGTGGCTCTCGCCTTAGTGATTAGCACATTCCTTTTAAAACTTTGCACGAGCTTGACGGATTGAGGGCGGGTGATTTTCAACATGTGGCTCTCGCCTTGGCGCCGCGCACATTCGTTTTGAACAGTTGCACGAGTTTCACGGGTTGCGGGCAGGTGGTTTTCAACATGCGGTTCTCGCTGTATCGCCGCGCACATTCGTTCTACAATTGTTCAAGAGTCTCACGTATTTCCATGATCAACGTGCCAGAAATGGTTTCTTGGAAGGATTCAGAATCATGCGGGTGCAACCGTTTTGTTGATTATTGGTTATGACGTCCCACAAATGTTTGGTAAGTTCCGGATCGTCTGGACGCAGCAGTCAGGTTTATCCGTGGCGTGGAAATCCCGAGAACATTACTTTGACATGCTTGAAGGTCTTCAAACGTTTGTCTTCAAACGAGGCAATTCCTTCAATGGAAGTGAACCGTTGTAGGGCCTATGAAGAGGGAGCTTGGAGGGAGGGTTCATTCCAACATCGTTGATGACTCTTGGGTTTACATTGGTGCTCCTCCTCCTTCTCCTCCTCCTCCTCCTCCTGGGGTCGTTTTTGGGTCCTGGGGCCTTCAAACAGGGGACACCAGAACTGCCCCCCACAGGGGAAGGGGTCCGAAGCTCTGGAGCCGGGGCAGGCCGGAGTTAGGGCGACATCCCCCTCTCCCCTCCTCGGGGTTCGAGGTCCCCGGGCGTCGTCGCAGGTTCTCGGCGGCGTTCTGGCCTCGGGGTGCTCTCGAGCAGTTGCGCCTCTCCGAGCTAGGACCCGGAAGCCAGGGGGCGAGGCGTCGACGGCCTTTCCTCGCGATGTTTGCAGGTTCTTTCCCTGCCTCTTCGCGCTGTGGTGCACTACGGTGGGGGCGTACGTCAAGGAATGTGCCATGTAGGCTTCAGACCCTTGGCGATTCCTTGTCTGACGAGGGCGACGGTGATATCCATGGCTCGTCCACGATTGGTGCTCCGCCGGCCGCAGAGTCGACAATTCTTATCCAAGGGTTTCCTGTCCAATGCCCCCACCGCACTTCTTCGTATTGTGAGAAACGACTTGTCAAGAGAGCGGTTAAAGAGGGGCGGAGAGCGGACCTCGAGCACTCTCGCCCCGACGTGTCCGTTATCACTCCAGCTTTCCCCACCTCCTTCCGCCCCCTCTTTCTTTCCGACCCATCTCTCCCATATGTCGCCCTCCTCTGGCCCTTCTTGGCGATTTGTGTTTCCTGTTCTTTCCCTACCCTTCCGCGCTGTGAGAAAGGGTCACGAGTCACGATGCGAGGTGCTCGGCGATCGTCGGCCCCCAAGGGGGCCCTCGCCGGGCTCCCCGAGGGCCGCCAGACACGTCCCGTGAGGAAAAGCTTGGCCCGGGCGAGGGGCCAGGGCTTCTGATGGGCCCACGCTGGGTGAGAAACAAAAGAAAACTCCTCTCGTCCCTCCCTTTTTTCCTCCCTCCTTTGTCCTCCTGCTGCTGCTCAACGTGTCAGGGCCTCCTCTCCGGTGGGGGAGCGCTTCTCCCTCTCTCCCATCTCATCCCCTCCTCCTCCAGCCTTGCCCCTCTCCTCTCCTCCGCCCTCCTCCCGCCCATCCCCGACAGCTTCGCCCCCGACGCTGTCCACCGTTGATCCCCCCAGGTGTCCGAGCCAGGCATTCAGGTGGTCCTGTTGCTTCTTCAGTGGACCTCGCCTTCCCGCCACATTGGTGTCTACTCTCGTGCCCGACGCGGCCTCCTCGATGCTGCGCCCGCCTTGCCCTCCGCCGGCCGCCGTTGCGCGTCGGCACCAGGGCCCCACCTTGGGCGTGGTCACTGCCCACCCGCCCCGGCGCTCTGCAGGTAGGCCCCGCCCCTTCCGGCAGCCCGTGCTGCCCCACTTGGGGGTCACCGCCGACGCGGCCCACCTCCCCCGCTTTCCCCCCCCTCCCCCCGCAGGGAGACCGCGCCCATGCTCCACTTGCGCTCGACGCCGCCCTCTCCCTGGCTGGCATGCGTGCGCCGGCCTTGGGGCGGCTCCTGCTTCTCCGCCCCCCCCCCCTTCGCCTCCCGCCCCCGCTCGGCCTGCGCCGCCCGGTGCCGAGTGGCGCTCCTCCCCAAACGGGGTGGTGACCACACCGTGTAGCGAGTCGGTGGGGGTTCGGGGTCACCGCAAGGTCTTGGGACTTGGGTCGTTCTTCGAGGACGTCTCGGGCGATTGAGGCCTCGGCCGAGGTCCCAAAATCATGTGGTGACCCTGCGGTGAGATCGTTGTGGATTTCGAGGTCACCGGCGGGTCTGTCACCACACGGTGTTGGGACCCCCCGCCTGGCCCAGCCGACATGCCCCCCGGCGATTGCCACAGCGCCTTCTGCGCCGTGCCGTCCTGCCCCGCCCGCCGCTATGCGCCCCTGGTGCCGCCGCCCCGCCCCCCCACACGTGCGCCTTGGTCCGCCCACCGCCCGCTGCCTCCCGCCCGCTTGCTGGGCCTCGCTCGCACTGCGGCTGCTGGCCCCGCCCCTGGGTGCGCCCGCGACGCCGCCCCGCGCCGCTGCCAGGGGCTGCCCTGCAGCCTGGCCGCCCCGCGGGCTCCCCGCGGCGGCGCCGCGTGAGAGTGCCCTCCCCTCCTGTGTCTCCTCTCGCGACCGCCTTCTGCTGCTTCTCCCCCTCTTGCATGCGGGACACCTCGCAAGTCCGCAGCGCGGAAATCTTAGACGCGCGAGCGGATCGCTTCTGCCGCGCCGCGACGGAAAAGTGCCGTCGGTTCGATGCGGACTCGACGCGGATTTGGCGCGGATTCGTCGCGGATCCGGTACGGGTCCGTCATGGATCCGACGAATCTGACGTGGATTTGACGCGGATTCGATTCGGTTTGGGCAGTGACGGGGCAGCGAAGGCCCCCCGAATATTAAGACGGGCATGTCCTTCTACAGGAGGAAATTTCAATAATAATAAAATCGGGTGACGATTTGCCGTGGTCGTTTGATAATAATTGATTATCTTTGATTGTTTCATTATTTCAAAAACCGCCTGTAGGAGGACATGCCGAATCCGAGGATGCAACATAACATATGAGTTATGGGGAGAACTGCGCGCCGCCGTGGATCGCAGGAGGGCCCGCCGAGGCGCATCCGCAAGGGCGGGGACGAGGGCGATGGTGAGGCGTCCGGCCGGTGTACAGTGGAGGCCCATGCCAAGAAACACCGTGTATGGACAACGTAGCGATCCCACACGGGAAGTCAATTGGCGTCGTGGGGTCTCACGGTTGGGTTTCTTGTGGAAGGTTTCTTGTGGTCGGGCCTCTACTGCATCGGAAGATCTTAAAGGGTTTGCGGGACTCGGCGGGGGAGGTCCCCAGGCCATCGAGCGGGCTCGCCCTTGGCTTCTGCTCTCTGCGCCATCATCTGGGCGCCCGCGGGCCGAGTCATTTGGTCCGCCGCGATGGCCGACGAACGCCAGTGGTCACACGCTTGCCACCGAGAGCAAGAGAGGGAGAGGGAGGGGGGAGGCCCGAGCAAACATGGACCGAGGCGCGTGGATTGCAGCGAAGACCCAAGCCAAGCAACACCATGTTTGCTTCCAGGGCGCCCTGGGCTTCTTCGGTGATTTTGTTATGGAGAGCGTGGCGCTCCCGCGCCGAGAACCAATGGACGTCCTGGGGTCACAGGGCAGGGTTTCTTGAGGGATGTTTCTTCTGGTCGGGTCCCATACTGTAGCGAAGGGCCCGTGTACACACGCAGTCGACGCGCACCGTCGCAAGATCGAGCGGCACCCGCGTTCTGCTCTTCGGCGGGTCCGTTCCCCAATCTCCGCGGCCTGGGCGCCTTTGGTCCGAAATCCGCGGGTCCGCAGCCCATGGGAGCGACGAACAAACATCGGATTCGACAGCGCTGACATTCGCCACGCGCAAAGTCGCGCGTACACGCCTTCTGTCTCCAGCGTGGCGTGTCGCGCTGGCGGCCCGCGCTAGCTGCAGCGTATGTCGTCTCGCGTAAGACATATGTCAGCAGGGAAAAAAACACACAGACACAATGAATCGCCGATTCCCCCTAACAGATTGGAAGTGAGGGGGAGGACGACAATCCAGAAAGCATTGCAAAAACATAGGGAATCCTGGGATTTGCGTGTGTATTCATTTGTGTGTGTATGTGTTCCTTGTTCCTTTCGATCCTTCTTTGTGCCGCACATGTGCATGTTCGGAGGCGTTGGCGGCTGGGGAGCAGGGGGGAACCCCGTGCTCCAGAGGGGGGGGGCGGGTCGAGGCGGCGCGAGGAGGATCGCGCCTTCGCGCACCGCGGGAGAAGCGCGGGCGCGAAGGCGGGCAGCGGCCCGGCTGTCCGGAGGTGGGCGCGCCCAGACCACGCCAAACAGCCACGAGGAGGAGGAACGGGGGGGGAGGGAGGAGGGAGGAGGGAGGAGGGAGGAGGGGACGGGCGGGAGGGGTGAGGAGGAGGGAGAAGGCAGGAAGGAGCAGGCAGGAGAGAGGAGGGAGGGAGGAGCAGGACGACGCGCACCCTCATGCTAGTGGACGCCCGCGTCGCGACGGACCGCGCGCGCTCCAGGTCCAGCCCACGGCCGGACACGCCGTGCACTCCCAGCGGGGAGATGGAGGAGAAGGAGGAGAAGGAGGAGGAGAAGGAGGAGAAGGAGGAGGAGGAGGAGAAGGCAGAGGAGGAGGAGGAGGAGGAGGAGGAGGAGGAGGAGGAGGAGGAGGAGGAGGCAGAAGAGGAGGAGGCAGAAGAGGAGGAGGAGGAGGAGGAGGAGGAGGAGTCAACTTAGCCAGGTCGAGCGAGTCAGAGGGCCCCGTCTACTCCCACCCTCCCTCCCGCAGCACAGGGTTCAAGTGTGGCACAAATTCGTATTGGGATTGGGACGCGGTCCCACCTCGCAAACGGAAGGCGCTCGCGCGCGGTTCCGCTTCCGACGAGTGGTGAAGAGAAACTACGCGGGCCGCGACGGGGCGGGAGCGGCAAAATTTCCAAGTGGCACGGCGAAGACGAAGCATGCGCCGCGTTGACATAGCATTCCCACTTCCGCTCACAAGCTGCGCGGCGTTTGGGCGAGGTCGGTATTTCGCACGCTTTCGCGCGGCCACGCTGCCGCTGTCCCTCCCATGCGTTTCGGCGAACGAACCAGCACCGCGCCCGCGCTGGAACGCCACTTCCGACCCCAATGCGCACGGAACTTGGACGAGGGCACCAAGTCGCCCATTCGCGCGGGACCCCAAACATTGGCGAGTGGCAAAAACGCTCCGCGTCGAGGCGGGAACGCAGTTTTCAGGCGACATCGTCGCGGTGCCGAGGCGAAAACGACATTTCCGTTTGCTCGCGCATCGACGAGAATGCTTGCACAACAAGTGCAGGAACTCAACATTCTATAAAAATGAGCGCGGCGCCGGGGCGAGAGCAACATTTCGGCCTCTCGCGCGGGATGTGTAATCCGCCCCCCTCGTGCCACACATATTGCAACATGGACGACAGAGCGGCCACGTCAAGACGAAAGACATGCATTTTTGTATTGTTGGTTCACGAGTAGGATGGATGGGCCCAGATGTGGGGACTTTCGGCCCGCGAGGTGGCAGCGTGGGAGCAAATACAAGTCAGGCGTAGGGATGGGAGATTGATGATGAGGAGATAGGGAAGGGGGAGGAGCAAGAGCATAATGTCAGGAGGAGGCTGCGTGCGGGGAGAAGCTCAGGAGGGGAGGGAGACAGAGGGGGGGGGAGGAGGAGGAGGAGGAGGAGGAGGAGGAGCCCCCCTCGTGCCACACATATTGCAACATGGACGACAGAGCGGCCACGTCAAGACGAAAGACATGCATTTTTGTATTGTTGGTTCACGAGTAGGATGGATGGGCCCAGATGTGGGGACTTTCGGCCCGCGAGGTGGCAGCGTGGGAGCAAATACAAGTCAGGCGTAGGGATGGGAGATTGATGATGAGGAGATAGGGAAGGGGGAGGAGCAAGAGCATAATGTCAGGAGGAGGCTGCGTGCGGGGAGAAGCTCAGGAGGGGAGGGAGACAGAGGGGGGGGGAGGAGGAGGAGGAGGAGGAGGAGGAGGGAGGAGGAGGAGGGGAGGAGAGGAGCACGAGGACGGGTGACGAGGAACGAGACGAGGCGGCGGGGACGAGGATCAGGGGAGGAGGAGGAGAAGGAAGTAGGAGGAGAGAAGGGAGAAGGGAAGAGGACGAGAAGGAGGGAAGAGGGGGAGGGAGGAGGAGGAGGAGAGAGTAGGAGGAGGAGAGAGTAGGAGGCGGAGGGAGGGGGATGAGGGAAAGGAAAGGATGAGGAGGAGAGAGAGCAACAGGGAGAGAAACGAGAGAGGATGGTACGGTAGGAGGGAGGAGGAGGAGGAGAAAGACGAGGAGCGGTAAGGAGAAGGATGAAGGAAAAAGGAGGGATGAGGGAGAGCAGGGAGGAAAGGGAGGAGAAGCAGTAGGGAGGAGAAGGAAAGAAAGGGGGAGTGACGGAGAAGGGGGGGGAGGAGGGGGGGAGTGAGGGGATGATAGATTGATGGAAGGGGAGAGTGTAGGATCCTAACGGGGCGTAAGATGAGGAGGGAGGAGGAGCATAGGAGGCGGAGGAAGGGGGGAGTAGGAGGGAGGAGGAGAAACGACAGAAGAAGCAGGCGGGCGAGGCGGAGGAGGAGGAGGAGAAAGGGGAGGATGGATGAGGGAAAGTGGAGGAGTAGTGGAGGAATAAGGAGGAGAAGACAGAAGACGAGGACCGAGGATGGAGTAGGAAGAGAAGGAGGGAGTGGGTGGAGGAGAGATTGAACAGAACCACGGTGAAAAGCGGCCCGTCGGCTGCCGAACCCGCTGCGCCCCCAGAATACCCCTGCCCCGCCGCGCCCTCCACGGAGGCGGGCGGGTCAACAGAGGCCAGCCAGCTGTTTGGCGGCCCGCGGCCGGCAGGCGCTGCTGTGCGCGCCGCAGGAGGAGACGCGCGCCCGGGTCTGCGAGGGCCTGTTGTCGATCCTGCAGGCTGCCAGGGATCTCTCCTCCTCCTCCTCCTTCTCCTCCTCATCGCTGCTCCTCCTCCTCCTCCTCCTCCTCCTCTTGGGAAAGGAATCCGAGGGTGGATCAGATGTGGCTAGTGCTGATCGTTTTTCTCGACAAGCCTTCGGGAGGAGTCCGACCGATAGGGCTGCTTCCCCTCTTTGCGAGGGTCTGGAGCAGAATTAGGCACAGGCTGTGCTCTGAGTGGGAGCGTCGCGCTGATGAGCGTTTCTTTTGGGGTATGAGCACCAGCACAGCCTGTGACAAGAGCGCTTGGGTCCACAACGCTCTTGCAGCCTATGCCCGTTCCCAGCCTGGCTGGGCCTCTTGCGCGCTTTTCATAGATCTGCGCAAGTTCTATGAACACATCTCGCACCAGGAGTTGCGAGAAGCCGCCAAGCATGCAGGTTTTTCGGAAGTCCTCTTGAGGAGCTACTGTTCGATGTATCGTGCACCGCGTAGGGTCTCGTGGCAAGGCGCGGTCAGCAGAGTCCTCGTGCCGAACGGCACGGTAGTTGCAGGGTGCTCTGGGGCCACCACTCTTTCCCGCTTGCTCCTCTTAGCTTGTTTGCGGCGCGCGGCGTCGGCCAGCCCAGTCGTCTGGATAAAAAATGTAATCGACGATGTCTCGCTGCACGCGGTTGGAGGCAAGGAAGTAGTTCGCAGGGAGCTCGGGCAAGCGTTCCGCATGATAACGGCAGACCTAAGAAAAAAGGGGCTGCCCATCGCCTGTAATAAGCTCGGCCTCCTCTCTTCCTCGGGGGAGGTGGCGGACGGGATCCTCCTCGATTGTGGCCTCCCAGAGTCGGTGCGCGCCCAGGTCCATCGGGATCTAGGAGGTGACGCGACCGACGGCAGCCGTAGGCGAGTAAGCACACATCACGATCGTTTCTGCGCCGCCCAAGCCAAGGTCGGCAAAATCGTGGCCCTCAGAAACGCTGGAGCCCCAGCGGGCTTTGTTTTTCGGGCTGGAGTTTCTGCCAAGGCTCTATGGGGAGCCAACATCCAAGGGCTCCCTGACGGCAAACTTAATCAACTAAGGGTAGCTGCGCTGCGCGCTGAAGGGCGGTTGCCTCGCGGCTGCTCCCTGGACTTAGCTTCCATGTGCGCGCGTGGCGGCTGGACCCGAGACCCATTGGTCTTGGTCACAGCCGATGCTCTGAAAACATATGTGCAGATCCTCAGAGACAATCGCCTGTCCCCCTCGGTGCTTCGATTTCTTTTTACCCAAGGGCAGGCCATTGCGTCAAAAGCCCGCCCATGGGCGCAGGTCAAGGACCCTGTGGCGGCTCTAATCCTCACTGCGGGGCGAGCAGGTCTGACTTTCACCGACCCCTGGACACTGTGCGAGGCCTCAGGGCAGGTTTGGTCCCTGGCCTCTGTCTCGCCTGCCTTCGTTGCTCGCCGTGCTCGCTTCGCTGCACGTCGCCTGTCTGATCACCGAGGCCTCAGCAAAATCAGCGGAGGCAAGGGTTGGTTAGGCGAAATTTTTTGGCGCCCCCTCAACGAGAGGCTGCACTGCAGACGGCAGCAAGACGACGATGACGGGGCGGAGTCGGGCACGGGTGGAGCTTGGGGGGTGCGGGAGCAGAGGACCTTGAGAGGCCTTGTTATGGGCTCGCACTGGTGCCAGCACAGGCTTCACCAGCACGGCCCCCAGCTCGAGGCAGACTGCCTCATCTGTCACGGGGCCAGAGGCACCCTTTTTCACAGGCACTTCGAGTGCCCTGCCCGTGCAGCTTGGCGGCGAGACCATCTCCCGCCTGAGCTCCAGGCAGCGGCTGCTCGTCTTGCTCGCTGCCCAGTTGAACTGCAAGAGCGATTCGCCCGAGGCATCCTCCCCGACCCCTGCCAGCTGCTCGCGCGGAGGCCCTGGGACCCAGCGTGGGAGTTCAGGGCTGAAGGAGTGGGTGCGTGTTTGGCGGTGGATAACGCTCGCGTCTTCTGCGACGGCTCGGGTCACGATGGAATGTTCCCCGCTCTGCGTTCGGCAGGCTGGGGAGTTGCCATTTATGACAGCGAGCGCCGCTGGATCACGGGCTGGTTTGGAGCCGTCCCGCCAACCACTCTGCCTGACCAAGTCGCCCGAGATGGCGAAGATTTTGCAGTTTTCATGGCCGCGAGTTTTTTAATTGGCACGTTCACGCTTTACTCTGACTGCAAAGGAACTCTCGAGTGCTGTCGCCATAGAAGCTGGGCCGGGAGTCCAGCCAACACACGTATGCATATGTGGAAGGAGCTGTATGCTAAAAACGATTTGTCTGGGGTGAGCTGCTGCAAGGTCAAGGCCCATTCGAACATGGATGACGTTCGGGAAGGTAAGATCAGCCTGTTTGAAAAAAATAATAATAATAATAATAATAATAAAAAACAAAAAAAAACAAAAAAAAAAAAAAAAAAAAAAAAAAAAAAAAAAAAAAAAAAAAAAAAAAAAAAAAAAAAAAAAAAAACGGGCAACGACGCCGCCGACCGTTTGGCCAAGCAAGGCGCCGATCTCAGCAGGCAAGACCCTCAGGATATGCTAGTGGTCAAAGGCATGCTGTTTATGGCCCGTCAGGTCACCTCTTTCATTACCAGGGCCGAGGTTCATTATTCCGACCTAGGCGTGTTTGGTAATGTGGGCGCCCAGGGGCTCACCCTCATTTCGCTCGAGGGCGGCGAAGGCCTGGAGGAGGACCTGGAGGAGCTCAGGAGGAGGGAGGCGGCGGAGGGACGATCTGCTGCTGCTGCTGCTCCCCCTCCTGCCCCAGCGGACCCCTCCCAGGACCTGCCCGAGGTGCCCCTGGGCCCCGACCTGGCCGTCCTGGCCAGGGATGCTCACCAGGCCCCCTGGAAGCAGGGCGGCCACCAGCTGTTGGAGTTCCCGCTGCACGGTGAGGATCTCGCTCCAATAATTCGTTGCTCCACGTGTGGAGGGTACGCGACGGTCTCGGTCGGAGCTAGAGGCCTCAAGTCGGTCTGCCCTGGGGCCCAAGCGAGTCTGATAGACCCTGGCCGCAAAAACACCCGCGCTGTTTTAAGGTCGAAACATCCCAATCGCGCCTTTAAGCTTGGCCCCTGGAAGTCGCCTGGGGAGCGGGCTCGGGAGGTCTTTGGGGGTTTGGACGGCGGCCCAGGGGTCCAGCGAAAGGGCCAGCGAAGTGCGGTGGTCCCTGGATTTGTACCTGACCCCATCTGCTCGGCAGACTGTCTGCAGGCGTTCGGTTTGAATGAAACTGAAGCCCGAGTGCTTGGGGCCAGGCTGCGGGAAAAGCAAAGGGTTGCCGCAGACTTGGCGTTTGAAGACGGCTAGCTGTTGTTGCCCTGGGGGGCCTTGTCGCTGGCCCCTGACAGGTCTTTGGCCTTCCTGTCAGGGTGACAAAAAGGTCCACTCCGATGGGCCCCCCTCGGGCGTTTTGTTTCAGCTGACTGTCGGATTTTTTCTCTTCCCCCCCCCTCGGTGGCGTGCGATCCTCCTCCTCCTCCTCCTCCTCCTCCTTCTCCTCATCCTCCTCCTCCTCCTCCTCCTCCTCCTCC